TTTAAGGAGCATTTCCCCCTGGGCCAGGGCCAGGCCGACTAGTTCCTGATGTTGCCTACAGAGCTCCCACCAGCATCCAGACACCCGCAAAAATGACTGCCCCCACCAGAGACTTGGCCTTGGCTCTAGGTTGATCCATCTAACCTACTTCCCAAGAGGGGGGCAAAATAAAAAGTACATAAAGCACAGGCTTTGAGCCAAAAGAGGAGTCCAAAACTAGGCCTTGACCTGCACTACTTTGTGGCTTTGGCCTCCTCCCGAACTTTATTCCACTGTGAAAAGGGGTAACATTACCTGTCTTTCCCAGTGACCGCAAGGTTTTGAAATAATGTATCCAAAGCACCTGACAAGCATATACTCTCCTCGATTAACATTAATTGAATCTCTCAGGTCAGAACTGTCCCGCTGCCACAACTACTCACAGTTTAGGGACCGCCATCAAGAAAGGAGGAAGAATAAGGAAGATGAAACAAGAACGGAAAGGAAAAGAATTGTTCTTCAAAGTCTAGTATGAAAACCACCACTTCTTCAATGAAGCCCTCCCTCTCCCCGTGTTGCCACACTTAATCACATGCACGTGGATGCCTAGCTCTGAAAATGAATGAGAAACGCAAAACGGAAGGGGACAGAAACAATGTCTCACCCCTACATAATGCAAACCACCAAAGATGCCAACCCCTTAGCGACCAGTCTCGATCCCACAGCAATGAAAGCAGGAAGCAGCACGTTTAACACCCGCGCCACCCCTGGTATCTCCGGGCTGGACCAGGGGAAGGAGGGCTTTTCCACATAAGGGTCGGTGCCACCTGAAGGCTAGACTCAGAAGAGATGAGGGAAACTGAGTCCCAAGAGTAGAAAGCAAAAGAAATCTCTAGCTTTGGGGTCGCAGCAGCCGGGCAGGCGCAGCTCTGATACTTTCAAGGGGACCAGAGCCTGCAATTCCCCCCAGCAGTGCTGGAGATCGGGGAGGCAGCCAAGGAGAGAGGGCGCGGGCAGGGGTGCGTGGACTCGGTGCGGCCGGCGGGAACCCCGGTAACGGCGCCCCGACCCCGCCGCCTTTGTCTCCAGCGGACCGGGAACTTCCTCCGTCCCGCCCCCGGGCGCGCCCACGGGAACTGGGGTAGGGGACAGAAAGCGTCTTGCACATTTCTTCTTTTTAAACACACTAAACCGAGGCAACAGAGTCAGCACCTCATCTCCCCGGGATCCCGTAAGGTCACCAGCTACCAACCTCCGGGCTGTCCCGGGCAGCAGCGACGTTGTCGCGCGCCACGGATTCCCAACACCCCTCTCTCGGCACTTCCGAGTCCCGGCGGCGGCGGCGGCGGCGGCGGCTGAGGACTTCCCCGGGACGCCGCCTGCTCTCCCCCCACCCGCAGCGGCCCCGTGCGGGAGCAGCCCCGCGCGCGTCCTCGGAGCGCGCCCCAGCCGCCGTGCCCGCGCGCCCCGCGCTCCGGGCAGCCGGACTTGGGGACCCGCGGCGTCCCCCGGGCGGTGGCGAGCAGGCCACGCCGGGGGAGGGGGAGGGGAGCGGCGGGAGGGCGGCCTGCCTCTCCGCACCCTGTCTGCGGGCAGCCTGGGGCCCCGGCCCCCGGTTCCTTGCGCCGAGCCTCGCGCGCCGATCTCTCCCCACCCGGGTGTTCACTGCAGGTCCGGGGCTGTCTGCAGATCGACTGCAGGGCGGAAGTCACCTGAAACTCGAGGTGCGCGGGCGATCCAACACCAGTGGTCCCCACGTACGTTTTGCAGGCCACAGGAGGTCGCTTGGTGGGGTGGAAAGAGGGCGGGCTTTGCAGCCCTGGCAGCTTCTCGAGCTTGCTGGGTGAACTTAGCCCCTGGGAGCCTCCCTGTCCACCTCTGCTGTAAGGCAGAAATAAGCTTCTCTGCTTTTCTTCGCAAATTAGAGTGAAAAAGCAAATGGCACGAAGTTTATGAATTGTAAAGCAACTTACGGAGCGCACTACTGCCAAATGGATAGCGCGATTTGGGATAGGTTGTAAAAAGATCTGAAGATGCCTCAACTGGATGTGATCCCGACGGCGTCTTCATGCCCAACGTTGCTGCTTAGAGGCCTGCAAGCCTGAACCAAAGGACAGAACTTGCTAGAGTTCCACCGATTTATCTGAGCGCAATCATTTACCTGAGCAGATTCACCTGGGCTCTCGATTTATCTGAGCAGAATCACCTGGGCTCTGGTTAAAACCTCAGGCTTCTGGATCCCTCCTCAAACCAAACATTCAGACTGCCCAGGGGAGGGGCGGCTCAGGTGGTTCTGTGATGAGGGCAATGTGAGTAACTGCGCTAGGCAGCAGGGAGTCACAGAGGTTGTGCTCTAAGAAATTCTAATCTAGCAGCCATTGATATGATCCAGAAGATTATTTTTTCTTATTGCAAAATTCTCCGGGAAGCCAGAGTATGAACTCTCTTAAGAAACAGAGCTGTCTTCTCTTTCAGCTTCCCCCACCCAACCCCAAACACCCGATACAGGATGGCGTTCAGGAAGCAGGTGTTGGTAAACTAGTCCCAAGTAGGAGTGCCAGATTTAACAAATAAAAATTAAAGTTTATCTTCAGATAAACAACAAATAAGTTTTTAGCATCAATATGGCCCATGCAATACTTGGGACATAGTTACGCTAAAAAAAACTATCCATTGTTTATCTGAAACTCAAATTTAACTGGGTATTTTATCCGGCAACTCTAGATCCAAGGATTTGGCAGAGCGGGGCGGTGCAGTAAGAACTCAGCTCAGGTTAGTGTCAGACTCACAGGCAAGGATGAGATAACAGCTCCTACATTATTCCTAAATGAGGCTGAGATGTTAATGTAGGTTCACAGTCGTTTACACTTAACCCCGAACCCCCCCCACACACACACACCATATTCACCTGTTAAAAACACCAATTAAATAAAAATAGCCAACATTTAAAGGTAAGCAATAGACTGGGGAAAGTATTTGCAGGAAATACGCAAAGTGTTTTTTATTATTATTATATAGATTTAATACAACTAAGAAGAAAACACTAGAAGCCAAGTGTAGATGAGCAAGACACATGAATAGTCAATCCACTAAAAGAGGAGGGAAATAAAATTAGGAAACAAATATATTGCAAAAGCTCAATGAATGCATAGTAAGATATTAATAAGAACACATAGTTTTTCATATAAGAAGGCAAAAAAAAATTAATAAATGATATTAAAGGCTGGCAAGGGTGCTGGGTGACAGCACTCGCACAATATGGACACAGGTAATCAATTTGGCAAGATCAAAACCCTTAAAATGTATAAGAATCCTTAAAAGCACTCAAACTTTTTGATTTTGAATTCTATTTATGGGCATAAATGTAAAGAAAATAGTCTGTAATATAGAAAATACTCTCCTTTTTAGCTTTATTGAGGTAATTGACAAAAGTTGTGTATACTCCAGGTGTACAATGTAATATGTTGATAACGTATACATTTTGAAGTGATTACTACAATCAAGGTAAATAACGTATCATCACGTCACATAGCTACCTTGTGTGTGTTTGTAGAATTCTTAAGATCTACTTTCTTAGCAAATTTCAAGAATATAATATGTGATTTTTAACTATAGTCACCATGCTGTCATACTTTAGGTCTCCAGAATTTATTTATCCTATAACTGCAATTTTGTACCCTTTGACCAACGTCTTCCTGTTTCCCCCACACTTCAACCCCTGGCAACCAATGTTCTACTCTCCGCTTCTTTGAGGTGGACATTTTTAGATTCCACATATAAGTAAGATCATGCAGTATTTATCTTTCTAAGTCTGGCTTATTTCACTTAGTATAATGTCCACCAGGTTCATACATATCACAAAATGAGAAGATTTCCTTCTTTTTAAGGCTGAATAATATTCCATTTTATATGTATGCCACAATTTCTTTATCCAATCTTGGGTACTTCCGTTGTTTTCATACTTTGGCTATTGTAAATAATGCTAGAAAATGCTCTTAAAGGGTAGGTATGGTGGCTAACGCCTGTGATCCCAGCACTTTGGAAGATCAAGGTGGGAGGATTGCTTGAGCTCAGAAGTTTGAGACCAGCCTGGACAACATAGCGAGACCCCCATCTCTACAAAAACATAATTTAAAAATGAGCTGAGTGTGGTGTTGATGAGCCTGTAGTCCTCTCTGTTTTCATGACATATCCAAGAAATCACTGGCAAATCCAATGTCATGAAGCTTTTCCCCTTTGTTTTCTTCTAAAAATTTTATAGTTTTAGTTCTAATATTTGATGTTTGATCCATTTCAAGTTAATTTTTGCATTTGGTCTAGGGTAAGGATTCACCTTCATTCATTTGGATGTGAAGACCCAGCTTTCCCAACACCACTTATTGAAAAACATAGCCGTCCTTTCATGGCCAGAGTTTGGAGTGGAAGGGATGGATGGTAGGAGACTGTTTCTCTAGGAAGTGTGAGATAAGATCATTGGAACAAACCAATCTCAAATTCTAAATACCAGGAGAAAAGTTGGGTTTGAGGGGTGGAGGCGTAGATGGGAAGGAAGGGAGAAGGGAGGATTCTCCCCCCTCTCTTTAATGCTTCACACACAGACAGAAGCGTCTGGCCTTCAAAGATCTGTGTCTGACTTGAAGCAGTCAGGCTCCAGGACTTCCTCACTTGGAGCCCAAGCAGCGAGCCCAGGGGCCAGACATGACCAGAGATGCTTGCTTGGAAGTCTTCTGTTCTGACTGTGCCGGCGAAGCCAGGGAGAGTCCTCCCTGGAGTTGAGAAGCAAACTGGGAATAGAGTAAATTGAGCAAAATTGATGATAATTGAGGTTTAAAGGAGGGAACCAATTTGTGCCTTGGTATTGAATTTCTTTAAAAGCAAAAATATCAAAATTGTATGTAAATGTGGGTAATTCATGGTCAGTCACTCTTCACATTATTATTTTAATCATAAGTCATTAATCAGGCACTGCACTGGGCGTGTTTTCTCTCCAACTCTCGGTTAGCAGGGTCTGCGTATCCTGGTGGGGCCTCCTGTCCAGACAGGCAGCCCTGAGCACCTGGTAGCAACTCTCCAGACAGCAGAACTGGTGCTTAGAAGGGATTAACCAGGCCAACCCTTCTTTTAAATTCAACCATGACTCAGTCATAGAAATTATACTCATTCAACAGAGGCACAAATGGTTGCTAAGACTTACTTGATAGAGGTTTTAAGACAAAGGATTGAATTTCTAATTATGAAATTTCACACCCAAGCAATAATAGCTATTCTGAAGGATGCAGGAAACTACCCAATCCTGACCACCTGGCACAGGTTCTTATCTGCTCCATCTGTGAGGATGTTGGCCCTAGTTTACGGTGATTTTTGATAATCAACATTAAACTAGCATTTGTCCAGCATCTACTTTGCACACAGCACAAAACTGAGTGCAGGGGGTAGATTTTCTTAAAAGTGAAAAAAGACTTGTCCTGCAGGAAGTTGCAGTCTAGCTGGGGATTCACCAAACCTACACAAAACAACTAGCAAATAATAACCATAATTAAAAGGATATAGTTCAAATTACCCGTAAATGCTGAAGGACAGACTCATGTCAGTAGCCTGAACTATGCATAGCACAATTCAATATCATCTCCTCCATGAAGCCTTCCATGGCCACCCTGGCAAAATTAACCCCTGCCCAGTCACTCTCTATTCCATCGCATTATTCTTTTATGTTTTCCTATAAGCACGTACCACTCTCTGAACTTCTCTTGTTTGCATATTTATTATTTATGTCAGCATTACTCAGACTACTCGCAAGACACAATACATTAGTAGATTGTAAAATAAAGTGAATGGGTCACAACTAGACTTAATTTTTTAACGAAATAGAATAGAGTAGAATAGATAATTAGGATAGAAAATATGAGAACACATCACTGGACTTTTATTAAGAATTGTGAACATTGTTGGAAAAATGCATCCAATTGCTATGAACAGGACTAAGAGAGCTAATAAAAGACTATGACAAGTATCGGTTGACTAGTACACGTCATTCTATCTTCTAAAAACAAACATCTCATTTGATTTTCCAATACATGTGAATATGGCCATTGCAATTATAAGACAACTAACAGTTTATATTTTATGTTAACATTACTCAGACTTCACTGTAAAGCATTTTTCTGAAAGGACATTATCAAGTGAGGTATGTCTCCACTTTGCATCAAATAAATACTTCATCAAATTAGCATGAATGGCCCTTTAACAGAATTTTTCCTTATTAGAAGAAAAATGAATAATGAAGTAAAAATTAGAGGAATGCCCAAGTTCAACTGCCAGATATCTGGAACTGTAAATTGTGACAATGTTGGGAAAACCATCGATTCTAATTAGTAAGCTTCAACTTCATTTGAGGTGCATTTTAAAA